TATTTGTAAAATTTGATATACAATACCTTGTTGGCTTGATCTTTTGACATTCTCAGTATACAACTTTATTTATTGCCAACGTCAACGATTGCCCAGCTGGCGAGATGCCGAGATCACACTTCGCTAGTATAAAGTATAAAGTATAAAGTATAAAATATAGCGAGTTCACACATCCCTAGCACGTTTGGTACAGGTACAGCGAGTTCACAATTCACTGCTTTTTTGAAGAACATAATATGAACGGCCCCTTTTGATTTGATTTGACCAAATGATCCCCACGAACACACACCAAAATATACACCTAGAGGAGATAGAATTCGAATTTTTATATAAATGTATTAAAAACAGACTATCACGTTCATTTACATATATAAGTATTCAAACGTTCAAATAACTATTTTTATCAACATACCTTCAAAAATATAACTCTTTTCCTCCAAAATCAAATGGTAGTATTGTAAAATAAAGCCTCGTGCATTCGTACAATGGAAAACTGAATAAGTGATATGCCAAATGGTCATGTCAAAATTAACTGTCATAGCTCCTATGAAGCTACGGCACAAGTAGTAATATAGAGGCCGTTCAACCCCCATTTTTGAGGGTGCGTAAGGGTGCGCTAATTAATATTCATAAAAATGAGGGTGCGTAAGGGTGCTGAGGGTGCGTTAATTAATACTCGTACAAATGAGGGTGCGTAGTGACGTCACTCATTAACATACGTCATAATTATATGCAATGACGTCACGCGGGCGAGCTTAAACACGATCGGGCGAAACTTGCTGACTACGCATTTTTTAGCGTCCCACACGTGTGTTGAATAGTTTGTGTCCCTCGCATGGCAAAATTGTTATCGAAATTAATATATAGCAGAGTTATAGCCGTATCTTTGCTCGGAAGAGATAAATTTCCACATGTATATTGAAGGATTTTTTGTATGTTCCATAGCTAGGAATCTATTCGTCACAAAAATCAAGACATATTTTAAACTAAACAGTTCCTAATCCCGAGTTGTCAACGTCGTTGTTATGGTCAATATTTGCATGTTGTTCAAGATTATTTAGCAATCCTTCTACATACATATATACTGTTAAAATGATCATAAGAAAGCTTATCAAGAGTAGAAGTTAGAATTAGAACAGTTGTAATATTTTTTTACACTATCGTCTGTTATTTGTATCAATAAACATGTTTTAAACTTTGCAAATGTTGCGTTGTTATGCGTTGCTAAGTCATTAGGAGGCGTGTAGGTAATTAAGGGGATTAAGGTAATACGAATTTGCATAACTAAGTGTATCCCGATGGATAGATAGGGATTATTTTTAACGCAGGTGTATACCTTAAAATCAGGCGCGTGGCTTTGCGGGTACATGTATATATTAAAGTACAACATATTTGTACACGGATCTTTTCGCGCGGGCGGAAAGAGCGGGCTTTGCCCGGCAAAAATTACACAATATTTCAGTTTTTAAGTACATTTATTTCTTCAAAACGTTTTACAAAATTATGCTTCTAATATATATCGTCACTTGTTTCAAGGGTTTCGCTATCAGATTCTTCATCATAGCTGCTTTCATCATCGTGGCTGCTTTCATTTTCCGTAATCCATTTGGTATGTCTTGGGACTGTTATATGAGAACACAGTTTTAACCTCCTCGTAGTTGATAAATTCCTTATCTTTGTCTTCTTATCTTCCTTATCCCTATCTTCTTAACTTTATCTTATTATCCTTATCTTCATCTTCCTTATCTTTATCTTCTTATGCTCATTATTCTTATCTTTATCTTCCTTATCTTTATCTTCTTATCTTTCTTATCCTTAATAAGCTTCCCGCTATGTTGATATGTTCAACACAACTTAGGCTGGGAGCCGAGCTCCATAGGCTCGCAGCAAAGCTCCTTAGGCTTAGGGCCGAGCTCTTTAGGCTCGGAGACAGCTCCTTACGCTCGGAGCCGAGCTCCTTAGGCTCGGAGCCAGCTCCTTAAGCTCGGAACCAAGTTCCTTAGGCTCAGGTGAAGCTTCTGTAAAGCTTCTGTGAAGTTTCTGTGAAGCTTCTGTAAAGCTTCTGTGAAGCTTCACTCAATCTATGATTCAATGATTCAATCTTATGATTCAATGATTCAATCCATGATTGAATGATTCAATCTATGATTCAATGATTCAATCTTATGATTCAATGATTCAATCCATAATTGAATGATTCAATCTTATGATTCAATGATTCAATCTATGATTCAATGATTCAATCTTAAGATTCAATGATTCAATCTTATGATTCAATGATTCAATCCATGATTCAATGATTCAATCCATGATTGAATGATTCAATCTTATGATTCAATGATTCAATCTATGATTCAATGATTCAATCTTAAGATTCAATGATTCAATCTAATGATTCAATGATTCAATCTATGATTCAATGATTCAATCCATGATTCAATGATTCAATCCATGATTCAATGATTCAATCTATCATTGAATCATAAGATTGAATCATTGTATCATGGATTGAATCATTGAATCATAAGATTGAATCATTGAATCTTAAGATTGAATCATTGAATCATGGATTGAATGATTGAATCATGGATTGAATCATTGTATCATAAGATTGAATCATTGAATCATAAGATTGAATCATAGAATCTTAAGATTGAATCATTGAATCATAGATTGAATCATTGAATCATTAGATTGAATCATTGAATCTTAAGATTGAATCATTGAATCATAGATTGAATCATTGAATCATAAGATTGAATCATTCAATCATGGATTGAATCATTGAATCATGGATTGAATCATTGAATCATAAGATTGAATCATTGAATCTTAAGATTGAATCATTGAATCATAGATTGAATCATTGAATTATAAGATTGAATCATTCAATCATGGATTGAATCATTGAATCATAAGATTGAATCATTGAATCATAGATTGAATCATTCAATCATGGATTGAATCATTGAATCATAAGATTGAATCATTGAATCATAGATTGAGTGAAGCTTCACAGAAGCTTTACAGAAGCTTCACAGAAACTTCACAGAAGCTTTACAGAAGCTTCACCTGAGCCTAAGGAACTTGGTTCCGAGCTTAAGGAGCTGGCTCCGAGCC